AGAACTCCTGAGCCTCCAAGCCTCCAGACAGGGTCCCTAAAAGAAGCAAAGACCAAACTCCCCAGGATGTAGACACCAGCAACAAGTTGGTGTGCGTACTTCCAAGGGTCCTGGGCCCAGGATGTGGTATATGTAGTTTCCTCCTTACAGAGCTGCCTGCAGGGTCATCTTTCCTTTGCATTATTGTCCTTTCTTTGGGTATTGTTAATTCCAAATTGCCAAGGATCTTAACCATTAAGATCCTCCTGCTCCAGTGACACATACTACGTATCTAGGAAGTTCTCGAGTCTCCCTGCTGCTGATGAGGAAACCAAGTCAAAGACCTGGTGTGGTGATGTGGGGTAACCAACTTGGGTACGCCCAAGTGGAGAATGGACTTGAGTTTTACTTCCTAAGATAGACTTTAGGGGCTGGTGAGATGATTTGGTGAGTAAAGGGACTTGCCATACAAGCCTGGCAACCTGAGTTCAGTCCCCAGAACCCAAGTAAAGATGGGAGGAGAGAACAGACTCCACAGAGTTGTCCTCTGACCTCCTATCTGCTGTAGTATATGTACATACATGCCATAGGCACATGTGCCCACACACAGTAATAATAAACTTTTTTAAAAATTTAAAACACATAGACTTTAGCCAAACATAGTGTCACATACCTATAATTTTAGCACTCAGGCAGCTGGAAGGAGGATTCTGAGTTGAAGGCCAGCCTGGGCTACACAGCACATTTGAGGCCAGCCTAGGCAAGACCCAGTCTCAAATGAGTTTTTGCCAAGGAAATTTATATGCTAATTTAACAAATTACTAAATTCTTAAGCCTGCCTTCAGGACATTGTTTTATTTATATGAATTGCAAACTAGATATACAGGTTTTCTTTTTCTTTTTAAAAACTAGAATCTATTCTACCCTCAGGATTGAGCTTTGGACGTTTGTCCCTAGATAATAGAACTGATAGATACATTTTCATGTTGAGACCCTCTGAAAAGAAAAAGGGACATGTCTTTAATGCAGGTGCTTAGTCAGGGGGCCGAGGTGGGAAGCAAGAACTTTGCATCCTGCAGTGTGGCATCGGATCCCAGTCCTGCCATTTCCCAGCTTTGAGACCTGCAGATGAGGTACCCTGAACCTCACCTTGTGCCCGTGTACATGTGAGAGAGTGTCTTCTCCTTGCCACCATGAGCTGCATTCTAAGTGTTGGCACACTGATGGTATCTGCCTTCTTCAGCCAGCCAGGTATAGGCACTTTGGCTAGTGTTTTCTTCTGTGGCTGAGTGTAACAATCCCACAGTGCTTTTCTGTCTTTAAATTCTCAAGACTGTAGAGTAGGAAGCAAGTCCTCCCAAGTTAGCGATTCTGACCCATAGCACATTATGGATTGGGTAGACATTTGGCCCTAGTCATCCTTGGGAGAAACTAGTCATTAGGTTTTATTGACTACTATGCACTTAGCAACTCTAAACAAAGTGAGGGGACCTGAGGCTTCCCGGGAACAGCCAGGGTTGACTCAGGAAACTGCTTCAAGCTGTGTTTCCAAAAGAAGAGCCACTTCAAAAATATATAGAAAATGTCAGGAGTCTGCCTTGACCTCTATGCATCTCTTACTGATGAATGAAAAGGAAGTTAAAACAATTTAGGGAGAGTGTTAATTCTGATCACTCCCCATCCTCCCCCTCCCCTCACTGGACCCTCTCGCCCACTGGACCCTGTCTTTGAAAAGCTCCCTTGTCGTGGGTGTGCTACTTGAAATTACAAATTTGAAGTTACAAACGGCATGTCTTTGCCAGGAACTCGGCCAAATGAGGGTGGCCTGTTACTGTGCAGAAAGCTGGGACACAGACTTCTCACCCCTCTCCTTCCCTGAGCCCAGGAGAAAGCCTGCATCTCTCTCTCTGTTTGTCGTCACTGACTACTAGTAAAACCCAGGGCATTAGAGCACTGCCTTGGGAACCTCACACTGAGACTCAGGGTGCTAGTTCACTCATTCCAGAAGCCCAGCTTTCCCCATTGCAGCTTCTCAGTGTTGTGAGCATTTCCCTCCACAGTCTACTCTTTGAGAATAAAGCTGTAGGGATGCACAGGATCAGCATGGATTTTCAAGTCATGATCCCATTAAAAGGGAACCTTCAGAAGTAGCCATGTGAATCTAGAGCTCCAGCTGTTTATCTCCTTTCTTAGAAGACAAAGTATTGGGATGATTTTCTAAGACTGGGGGTAAAATGGATTCTTTTTCTAGCAGATAGTCACTCAGTCTTTGGTTTCCATTGTGTCTGCACAGAGTCAGCTCCTTACACTGCGTTCTTCTCCATACTGTACAGTATCTGTCTCTTTCAGCTCTGCTGACTGCCAATGTTGGGCTTGCACTTTAGCCTCTGAGGTGGCGAACACATTTGATTTTGTTTTATGGATACACTAAGCTATATTGTTACCACTTCTCTGCCTTGACCTGAATGTCAGGGTGAGAATTTTCTGTGAACCTCCTGGCTATGCTCAGGCCTTTGTCAGACCTCTCCTGTCTATACCGATCACCTGCCAACCCTTGTGTCTTCACAGATCAGCAAGCCTCAGCCCACAAAAGGACATTAGAAGTCACCTCACCTTCACCCATCTATTTTATTTGATTAGTAGCTGAGACACGACCCCCCCCCCCGAGAAATCTTTTTAAGAAAGATCTTCTGAACCTTTGAGCTCAAGTCAAATGTTAGGCAAAATTATTAATTAGCTATTCCTTCCCTGGTAATATTTTATATGGAACCAGAAGCTTCCAAGTTATTTATAAATTAATTTTATTAGTTTTTAAAATATCACTAGCAAACTGGACATTCTTAGAGTTTGAGAATGACAGTCATATTTAAATATTATGGATTTTCTTTGAGATTGTCCTGTGTGTTTAATGGAAATGTAAGAAGATAGAAATTATTTCTATTCCAGTACTTAACACTTTTTTGCTTTGAAATTGAGACAGGTGTGAAAGTATTCATTTTCATCTAAAAGTCTGTTTTTTATGTGGTGCCATACCAAGAGTACAGAGCCAGAGTTACAGTCTGTAGTAAAACTGGTTTCTGGTTGCCAGTGTGTAGAATGGGAACCCTGAGCCTGGCTCCCTCGGGGTTCACACTGCCAGCCCTATTGCTCCTTCTTCCCATGACTTTTTAAAACATAGCCATCCCTGGAGTGAGGAAGGCAATTGGACAACTTTCCCAACAGGCTGTTTGACCCACTTTCCCAGGTGTGAGGAAAGCGAATGCTCATACCTGGCACTTGTCTCTTTGCCCTGCAGTGTGTGTGGTGGTCTGGGTGCAGGGTTTTCAGCTCCTTAACTGCCATAGGCACTACTTAGGAGCATGCTTATTTTCTGGAGATTAGAGAGACCCACTGGATTCAATAAGTGACTCAAAAATGGTCTTGTATTTCCTAATGACTGAGCGTGATTAATTCTAGCAGTCAGTTCCTGTTATTAAACTCTGTTGAAAACAGGAATTCTGGAGGTAATAAGTAAATGAGCAAGGTCCAGAACCATAGGCTGTGACTTGAACAGGGTCCTTAACTCACAAGGGCACTGAAGAAGAGTGGCCCACACCCGGGAGGCAGCCATCAATGAGACCTCTGTTACATTAGTGGGCCATCTTCCCAGTGCCCATGTCCCTGCATGGCTGTGGGCGTGTGCCCTTACATGGGAGGCAAGATCTTTCTTGTCCATCAGCCTGGCATTGGCAAGCATCAAGAGCCTTAAGAAGGTGTTTCATTCTGTCATGCAGAATTCCAGCACTCACCATTTGAGAAAGACAGAATGACCAGGTTTTTTATTCCACAGACAGCTTTACTTCTCTTAAAATTACCTGATGAGATACCAGCAAAATTTGTATGTTAACAGATAGGGTGCGTGCATGCATGCGTGCATGTGTGTGTACGTGTGTGTGTGTGTGTGTGTTGCTATGTGGGTGCATGTGTGTGTATGCATGTGTGCGTGTATGTGGAGACCAGATGTCAGCGTTGGGTATCTTCCTCAGTAGCTCTCCACATTCATTATCTTTTGGAAGCAGGATCTCTCATTGAACCTCACTGACTCCACAAGGCTGGCTGGCCAGCCAAAAGCCTCCAGGAATCAGCCTGTTTCCACCTCCCCAGTGCTGGAATCGCAGATGCACTCCATAGCATCCAGCTCTTAAAATGGGTTTGGGGATTGAACTAAAGTCCTCATGCTTGCTAGCAAGCACTTACCAACTAAGCCATTTCCTGAGCCCCCTTAGACATCATTTAAACTTCTTCCTTGACTTTGGTTGACTTATCTCACACGTTCAGCATTTTATTTTTGAAATTTCAAAATTGACTACGTGACTGTTTTTTAGTCCAGGGGCTGAAAAAAGTATGGCCGGTAGTAATTTGATAAGCTGATGCCAGTACCTCTGGTGAGAGCTGTGAGAGGCAGTGGCCACTCAAGGCCAAGTTTTTCCTCAATAGAATATTAATTCCGCAGGAATTTCAAATAGGGAAATAATTTTTATTCCAGTGAACTAGTTTTTGAGGGCCATTATGTCAAGAAAATCCAGGGTCCGTTTGAGCATTAAGAACTATGTGCACCCTGTATACATGGCATCTGAGTTTCTAGATTAATACGTAAGGACCTGTGCTCTCTCCATAGTGGAGGTGAAGCTGAAGTCAGTGTCTAATACCATCACAAAGCTCCAGAACTTGCATGTCCTCGTTGCTGTGGGAGACTGGGTTTAACCCCATTCATAGCATCATTTCTAAAGAAATGCTGCCTCAGAAGTCAGCAAGGTGGCTTGCCAGGTAACTTCCTAGGGTAGTGTCTCTTGCCCTCCACCCCATATGGTACTCAATCAGTGTGGCCACCTTTTCTGGGCGCTCAGGCCTAGCAGAGGGAGAAGGAGACAGGCAGTAGGCTCAACCCCATTTCCTGGCCAGATGCTGGCATGAATGGCTCCTGCTGGCTGCTGTATGGGATGAACGATTGATGCCTAACTGCTTCTCCCTCTTCCCCCCAGGATGACTGTAGTCCCTCTGCTGTGAATGAGCCTGAGACCTCCACGACCACAACCAGTGCCTTCACCATCCAGGAATACTTTGCCAAGCGGATGGCTCAGCTAAAGAGCAAACCACAGGCCCCAGCAGCAGGGCCTGACCTTTCAGAGACCCTGGTGGAGTGGGAAAAGGGAAAGAAAAAAACCAAAGAGGCAGCAGGTATAGATATGGAGAACTGCCCCCAATCCAAGGCCAAGCAGCCTAAAAAGAAAAAGCAGGAGGAAGTGGAGAACCAGGGACCTGCAGCCAAGAAGAGAGACCGAGCTGAGCAGCAGCCCCAAGGCCCCAGTGAAAACCAGTGTTCTGATGCTTCTGCTGAGACTGAGCGGGATTACGCACCCGACAGTCAGGATGGTGCCCTGAAGCCCAAGAAGAAGGAGGCAAAGAAAAAGCTGCAGAAGCCAGGAGAGGTAGCAGCAGACACCGCTCTAGACGGAGCACCTGTGAAGACGAAGAAGACGAAGAAGAAGAAAGCCTCCAGGTGAATTCCTGCCAGCTGGGTCCAACCACTCAGCTGTCAGGGTGCCGCGGGGCAAATGCTCTGACCTAAAGTCAGCAGAGGGAGCCCCACGCAGCTAGGGCTCATCTTTTGCCGCGTCTCACCTGCTCGTCACATTTTCCCCAAGTCCCCTTCCCCAGAGAACTGATTTGAATAGTCCAGATCATGCTTTTATAAACAAATTCTCTTTTAAACTCCAAACTGTTCACATGAGCGTTTATTCATATTCATACAATTACACACAGTCATATATTGTGTATGTCTGTTGTGTGTGTGCACATGCATGTGTATGCATGGAAGTCTTGCTCTGTGTTTGCTCTGGTTTCCTTCAGTAACAATGACTTTTGCTTCCTTCTGAAGGACTTAGTCTAATTAAGGGATTAAGAGCATTCGTTTGGATTCAGATAGTTCCTTTTGTTCCACAGCCAGCCATACATTTCTGCCAAGTGGGAATTACATGAACGCATTCCCAAAGGAGAGGCTTTGTTGTCTTGTGCTTCAGTTTTGGTGGGGCCACTGTTCCTTTTTCTGTTGAGCACTGGCATCTGGGTATCTGAGTCTCCCCTCGATGAGAACACTGACTGATGAGTGTATCTTCGGCTCTCAGTCACCTGGGGTTCCTGCACTGAGTGAAGAGTCAGACATATTTCTGTCTCATGTTCCTTGAGAACGAATTTCCTGTGTTGGGCTTGCCAGGAGGTCCCAGAATGACCAGAAATCCCAGAAAAGTCAAAGGACCAAGACTAAGGGCCATGAAACCGATGTCCCCTCACTGGGGACTGCCTTGTGAAAGCTCTTGGAAGTCTAGATGTTGATGAGCACTATAAGACACCTTTCAGCTCTGTGCAAAGCAGACGCAGATGTCTCATGTCCAGGTGACTTCTAAGAGCCTCTGTCAGGCCAGTGGGCCTCTCCCCAGGTGTTCTCAGAAGAGCAAATGCCGAGGTGCAGGCAGCACAGCCTGGCCTCAGCCTGCAGGGGTCTTTCCCCTCTGCCCCCATTTCACCTCACCTTTCTGCCCTATTTTCAGTTAGTTTCCAGTTCTCCCACCCCATTTTCAGCCCCCCATCATGCTGGGCAGGCTTTTGCCACTGGCCCTGATTCTACTAGACCTGTTGGAGTGGCTGTGGGGCTGTGCAAGGAAGCCTACGCCTTGTGTTCCCTAGGTTCATAGAACACTGCTGGTGGCAGGAACTAAGACCCATACCTTTTGCCCTTGATGTAACTCCTGGGGACACGTGTTACATGGGGAGCCTGGCCTGAGAGTCTTGAAATAGAAAAATCCCCAAAGAGCATTTAGGTCTAGCCTCTAAGATCTCTGATGATGATTTAAGAAGGCACCCCACCACCCCCAGGGGGATTCCCGTGGACTTGGAGCGTACAGCTCCCCAGTTTCATCATGTCCCCCATGAATCCTAAGCCAGTAGGCCCCAAAGGTTTTTAAAGGCTCTTCACAGAGGGCTCATGCCCAGCTCACCTCTGCTTGTCCCATCTTGTTTGTGAAACGAGACCCAGGAGGGAGTGGGACTCCATGAAAGCCAAAGGGCATAGTCTCTTACCAGTGCAGGTAGGCTGACTGCTTTTGTTACATTGAATTAATTTCCTAGATCAGTAGAAATGAGAGCCAGAGGCTGGAAGTTAGCTCAGTAATAGAGTGCTTGCCTAGCTTAGGCCTGGGTTCCATCCCTAGCACAGAAAAGAGAAGCGGAAGGGTTGAGGGGAAAGAGAGCATACAGGGAATTGTTTCTAAGAGTATTTGAGAAGCATTTGGGATGCATTTAGGCCAGCTGGGGAGGTGAGAGGAGGGGTTGCTGAAGGGAAGTCCCCAGCAGCCACACGGAGGTGGCTTCAGGGCACCATTTATAGAGGGAATGTAGAAATGTGATTGCTGTTTTAATGGGCTCCTGAGTGATTTTTATATGTGTATTTTGCAGTGCTGGGGATCAAGCCCATGGCCTCACACATGCTACCACTTGAGTGATCTTAAGTGGGCGGCCCGAGAAAAGGCTTGTGCTTATCTGAGAGTGCGGTGTGACCATTGCTTTTGAAGAGACAGTATATTTTCTCTAAAATCCTCAGCTTTCATATCTCTCTCTCTCTCTCTCTCTCTCTCTCTCTCTCTCTCTCTCTCCCTCCCCCCCCCCCCCCCCCCCCCACTTAGTTACTTGGCTTGAAGTAGAAGGTAGAATAATGAAACATATTCAGGGAGTTGCACTTCATAGACTTGATATTGTAAAGTGGGCAACTTGAGTCCTTCTCTTGCCTTGAGTTGGCCCCCTAGGTAAAAATGTATTCATAGCACATCCTCCATTGCTTTCCCTGGCACCCCAAGGCCTTAAAGGAAAAGTCGATTTCCAGGTAAAGAGCAGTCCTCTGAAGAGGTTTCTCCATGCCGTCTTGCAGCAGCCTTTTCTGTGGGTTTTAATAGATGATTATTAAACAGAATCTTGTGTGCTGGGCCCCATTCCAAGCACTTTAAATAAATCAACTGGTTTAATGGTCAGACAGCCCTGTGAGGTAACCTCACTCCCTCCCCCTTTACAGAAGAACTTCATGTGCCATGTGTAGATTTATGCTGCCCTACAGCCCCATCATGCCTCAGTGCCCTGTCCACAACCACCGGCCCCTTGCCTTGGTTTTCAGTCCCAGTGTCCCCTGTAAGTGGGACCCTGGTTGGAAGCAGCTGCAAACGCCAGAGATTTCCAAAGCCAACTCATTGGGTCTGCCTGTGTACACTGCAGAAAGTGCTCTTGGTTGCACAGGATCCCCAGTGAATCCTCCTTTCCAATTTGGTCAAGCAGTTGATGGGAGCATAACTAACTTAACTAAAATGTGTGTAAGAATGTGGCTAAAAGAATTTCTTCTACTTTGTAGGAAAGGTGGATGCTTTGGAGAGATCACCCCAAGCTAGCATTTGTTTTCTCTCACAGGCCTTGCCTCTGTTTCTCTCCTCACCTGTTCCCTGAGTGGCAGGAACAGGCCAAGACCTGTTTGCTCAAAAAAATCGGCACCAGAGAAGAGTTTCGTTGCAATCTCTCCCAGTGATCTCAGCCCTTGGATCAGCAAGCAGCGGCTGTATTTAGATTTGAGTAAGAACTTCCTCCCCGCCCGCCACCCTGTTTATCTCTCAGCTTCTGCAGCCGCTGCAGTTTGGAGCCTGTTGTGCTGGCATGGAGCAGAGGAGGTCAGGTCAGGTGCCCCGTGTGTGCTTTTATGGTGCGCCATTATTCACGAGCAAATTAGTACCATGTCCTAATAAAGGAGGTGACTAAACTTCTTGCATAAAAACACACGGTCTGTTTAGGAAATACTGAATATATTAAAATAGCACACAAGCCCTCCTGGAGCAAGAAAGAGGGAAAAAAAAAACCCCAGAGAGACGTCATGTAAAGAAGGGGAACAGAGGAGGCTGTACCCAGAATGATAAGGGTGGTTGTAGTTAGGGGTCCTGCTGATAGACTGAGGAGCTATGAGCTCTTTCCTCCCACCTGAGTTGAATTTCTACATAGCAAACTTTAAAAAAAATTTTTTTTTTTATTTTTATGTGTACAAGTGTATTGCCTACATGTATGTAAGTGCACCTGTGTAGTACAATGCTGTGGAGGTCAAAAGAGGGCTGGTTCATAGCCGCCATGTGGGTGCTGGGACTCGAACCCAGGTCCTCTGCAAGAGCAGTCAGTGTGCCTAACCACTGAGCCATCTCTCCAGCCCCCATAGCAAACTTTTAAGGAAAACTACAATGAGTTCTTTAACTGAGGGGAAGACTTTGTAATTACATCTGGAATTTTCTATGGTGGATTTCTTTGGAGAAAGGACCATGATTGCCAAAAAGTAGTTATCCTAAAAGCATTTCTTGGTCACCTTTCAGGTTACAGGCTAATTCAGGCAGAGTCACTGACCTGTGGCAGTCTGCCCACATCTGTACCCTTCTGGTCTGTCCTTTAACCCAGTAGTGATTTTCTCCCAAGGTTCCCTTCTGCCTACAGCAGTTTTATGACTGAGGAATAGACAAAACTGGTATATGTATTCCCCCCACTTCAGCGTGGTAGAAAAGGGGTTGTCTACCGAGAGGCCCTACTTTGGTGTCCCTGTGAGCCAGAGCTCAACTCCCTGTCCTGCCCTTGTCACTAGCAGATCTGCTGAGGGGACAAGGGTGAAAGGGACAGGGAAGAGACTACCCCCCCCCAGTTGCCAGACACCCCTTCTACCCGAATAGTATAAAACCAAGCATTGATGTATCTGCTTGAATGGCCAACTCAACTTTAAAACAAGAGTGGTGAGGTGGAGAACAGTCTGGGTGATCACAGCCCCGTCTTCCTTCACGTCTAGGATACTCCCCAGCAAAGGCCTTGTTCCAGGCAGCTCAGCACCTCCTTCAGCCACTCTGAAACCTCCTTCCCGGTCTGCTCCCCTCCACTCCTCAGCTCCTCAGCTAAGTCAGGAGACACCACATGCCTTGAGTGTTTGGGGTCAGGTTCTTCCCTTCTTCCCCTCTGCAGTGATGCTCTTGGCCAGCCTCTGCTGCTTCCCGGACAATTCGCAGGTCCACATCTCTGCCTCAGCCATGTTCAGCTTTTATCCTGTATCGCTAACCAGCTTTCTCCAGCACCCTCAGATTCTAGGAGTCTGCAAGATGCTCTTCTCTCCAGGCCACCTCTGGACCTGCTCTTGTCATAGAAGAGCACTCACAGACAGCAGCTCTAGTACTGAGAATCATTTTCAGCTGTTCACTGTCTACTGCCCTGTGCAGGAAGCAGGCCTGCTGTCCTTGAGCTTACAGCTCAGCCTTACCTCCTGCTGGGCCCCTCTGCCTGTTGGCACAACCCTGCATGGACTTGGCCCTCCTTTCCACACTCATCTCTCCGGAACATTCTTTTCTTGGACCATGGCTCCCCGGGTCTGGCCTCCCACTGAAGATTGCCCCTGAGGCCCACTAGGGCTTTGCTTCTCTACCCACATGCCTCTATAACTTCCGCAGCCTTTCCTGGCCTGGCCCCCACAGATACTCCATCTTGAGTTGTCCCTTTTCCACACACATCAGTCTATGTGCATTGGAGTTTTCATATGTCACTTTCATATTCAACTGCAGATTCTCTGAAGATGACGTTCATCTGTGTCCCTCTCATAGCACTCAGGATCAGGACTCTTTAACATTTAGGGTTTTTTGTTTGTTTTTTGTATTTTTGAGACAGGATCTCCCTGTAGCCTGTAGCCCAGC